GCTGAGAGACTTCAAAGAAGTGTGACTGGCCCAAGGTCACCCAGCAGCTGCATGTGGAGGAGCGGGGAAGCGAACCCGGTTCCCCAGATTATGAGTCTACTGCTCTTAACCACTACACCACACTGGCTCTCCTTGCCACTCTGCCCTCCTTGGGTTTCCAGAAGCAATGCTGCCTCTGAGAGTGGAGGCTAATAAATTAGATAAGAAAAATGGTTTTGCATCGGAAAAAACGAAACTGGAAACGGAGTTGTTAGATTCTAAAGTTAAAAATTTGTCTAAAATGTATAATTTATTGTTGGAGTGGCATACAAAGGATGAACAAGTTAAATCTGTGATGATAGATTGGGCAAGAGATGTGGGACATAACATAATGTTTGAGGATTGGGAAAGGTTGTGGAGGAAAGGGGTCAAGTTCACTGCATGTACGGTGTTAAAGGAAAATATTACGAAAATGATGTATAGATGGTCCTTAACCCCTGTAAAGTTAGAAAAGATTTATCACAACAGTGATAATCTATGCTGGAAATGTAAAGAAAAGGAGGGTACCTTTTACCATATGTGGTGGACCTGTCCCAAGGTGAAAGACTTCTGGGAGAAGATTTATAATGAATTGGAAAAAATGTTGAAATATACATTTGTTAAGAAACCAGAGGCCTTTCTTCTCAGAATAACAGGTTCGGAATTGCCCAAAAAAGATGTTAGATTGTTTTTGTACACCACAACTGCAGCTCAAATTTTACTGGCCAAGAATTGGAAAACACAAGAAGTACCAACAGTGGAAGAATGGCAGATGAAGATGATGGACTTTTCGGAGCTAGCCGACCTGACTGGAAGAGTCCATGACCAGAAGGAGGAGGAGCACCAGGAAGAATGGAAGAACTCAAAGATTATTTACTTAAATATGCTAAGATAAATTAATCAGAAGTACCTGCAAAAATAGATAGGCTATGGATTTATATATGTGAAGTTATGTTTAAAGCAAAGATGAAAAGAAACAAAGATGTTAAGAGGATTAAGTAAATTTTATGAGATTCTGTTTTGGAAAAACCCTTACAATGATATATATTGAAATTCAGTCAAGGGAATTTGAGGAAGTCACTTAACAATGTTAGTAAGATTGGATTAAGTACAGTTACGATCTATGTTTGTTTGTTAGTTTAGAATTTTGGAAAATTAATTTTTAAAAACATGGGAAAAGAAAAAAAGAGAGAGTGGAGGTTAAGCATAGCCATTTTGGCTGGAAGCCACTGACAGCCTTATCCTCCAGGAATTTATGCATTCCTCTTTCAAACCCATCCAAGCTGGCAACCATCATTGCCTCCTGGGGGGGGGGAGTAAGATCCATAGTTTAACTATGTGCTATGTGAAGAAGTCCTTTTCTCTGCCCTGAGTCTTCCAACATTCAGCTTTGTTGGAAGCCCATGAGTTCTAGTCCTATGAGAGAGGGAAGGAAAAACTCTCCTCTGTGCCAGGCATAATTTTATGACCTTCTGTCATGTCACCTCTTACTTGCATTTTCTCTGAACTTGAAATCTCCAAATCGTGCAACCTTTCGTCACAGGGGAGTTGCTCCACACCCTTGATCATTTTGGTTGCCATTTTCTGAACCTTTTCCCAGCTCGAGGTGAATTTATGAACAAAGCCAATATGTCTGCAATTTGTGAATGCATAGTTCAGTACACACGTGAAATGGACCAGCGAGAAGGTTAGGCGAGTCCCTTTCTTTCTGGCAAGGGATTCCACAGTAAGGCTTCATACACACTTGTACCTTCAAGCCAACCTTCACTCACCCACCACACACACATTTTCCTTCTGAAGCAGCATGGGGTTGGTGGAAAATTTGATCCAGTTCACACTTAAAGGTGAATCTATCATGGTTAATGTAGCTGCCCCTGTTCTGTTGAATAAAGGTAAAGGTAAAGGGACCCCTGATCGTTAGGTCCAGTCGTGACCGACTCTGGGGTTGCAGCGCTCATCTCGCTTTACTGGCCAAGGGAGCCGGCGTACAGCTTCCGGGTCATGTGGCCAGTATGACTAAGTCGCCTCTGGCGAACCAGAGCAGCACACGGAAACGCCGTTTACCTTCCCGCCGGAGCAGTACCTATTTATCTACTTGCACTTTGAGGTGCATTCGAACTGCAAGATTGGCAAGAGCAGGGACCGAGCAACAGGAGCTCACCCCGTTGCGGGGATTCGAACCGCCGACCTTCTGATCAGCAAGTCCTAGGCTCCGTGGTTTAACCCACAGCGCCACCCGCCTCCCTGTTCTGTTGAATAGCATTCTTATAAAGATACAACAGGCACCTGCTTTCTGCACTTTCGGGGGTGGGGAATTGCAGACATTTTTGTTCTAATAGGTTTTCCCAGCTGGATTAAATAGATCTTTACCACAAGTGTCCACTTGTTTATGGATTTACTATTGTTTTATATGTATTCGTTGTTCTTGTGTTTTTAATATTTTAAAAACTATCTTGTCTGTAAATCACCTTGAGATGGCTGTTTAGAAGGGGATTAGTAAATCAATGGCGATGATGATGATGTGTTGGACCAAGACCTGGGAGACCAGGCTTCAACTCCCCCCTCAGCCAAGTTCAAGTTCACTTGAGGCAGTCCCTGCCTCTCAGCCTAGCCTACCTCACAGGGTTATTGTGAGGATAGATAGGAACTAAGGGGAACCAAGTATGCCGCACTGAGCTCCTTGGAGAAAAGGGTGGCTATAAATGTAATAAATACATAAATAGTATGTGAACTAAAAAAATTGCACTTCTCTGAATTTTGTGGCTAAAAAAATAAGAATTCACAGACTGAAAATGTGGAGAACTAAACTCAAGACTGGAAGAAAATGAAAAATTGAGAGAAATGGACATATTTGTCCAGCCTTAGAAGTAACTCAGTGGCAGAAGGACTGTACTACATGGCTATGTTGTTTCACCCCTGAATTGCTGATCTAATGTTTGGCCTTCCTTGATACTAGGGCAAAAATAACTTTTATTTCCTGGGATTAGGTGATGTGCATCCACGTCCACACTCCCTGCTCCCCAAATTCAAAAATCCAAAGCCCTAAAAGATGAGGTCCAGAACAATAAACAGAAAGTAAAATGAATGGATCTATGAGCAGCATAGCGTTTTGCCCAGATGTTCTTGATTTCGTCTGAGTGCCTGTATGTATTTGCAGAAATTAAAAATGCTTTGCATTTTATTCTAACAAACAGATATATAGCTTCTGAGAAATGTTTAAATTCAGATGAATGAAGACCAGACATACCTTTCCTACTAATAGTAAACTTTCTTCATTTGTGCTGCCAGGATCTACCTCCTTACAACTCTGACAAACATGGTTGTTATTGTTTCTGGGGTCAGGGGGAAAGAAAGATTAATCAGAGGGTTTCAGGTGACTCTTAATTTCCACCTGTTGAAGGCCAAGTTACCTGGTAACAAGGATAGGCAGCCTGGGCCCTGGAAAAGTTCGGAATTACAACTCCCATCATCCCTGGCTATTGGCCATACTGGCTGTGAGTGATGCAAACTGTAGTTCAGAGTGCCAGGTTCACTGTTGCCTGCTTCTGCTGCATAGTTTCTTTAGCTGGGGAGAGAACCCAATTAGAGGATTCATTGAGGTTTGATTAAGGCTAGGATTGGAGGAGAAATTTAATTTAGTTCACACTAAACAAAGAACCTACCTAATTCACACTTTGCAAAACGGTATGTAAACTGGAAAACAGACATCCTATGAATTTTAGCCTTCTCTGAATTTTGCAATGCAGTTCTCCAGACAAGTAATGTGTACAAAAATGTGTGGAAAGTATGCGTAAGAAATGCATACATTACTGAAAATAACATACCAAAAAAATTCATAATATTTGGGGGGAAAGCCTTATGAATATCTGGCGGGTGGGATGTATCTATATAGTGGTACCTCTGGTTACGTACTTAATTCGTTCCGGAGGTCCGTTCTTAACCAGAAACTGTTCTTAACCTGAAGCACCACTTTAGCTAATGGGGCCTCCCACTGCTGCCGCGCCGCTGCTGCGCGATTTCTGTTCTCATCCTGAAGCAAAGTTTTTAACCCAAAGTACTATTTCTGGGTTAGTGGAGTCTGTAACCTGAAGCATATGTAACCTGAAGCATATGTAACCCGAGGTACCTCTGTATTGGGATAAATTTGCACTAAATGCAGATTAATTTTGATGGTTTGTTTGTTTTGTTTTGTTTTGTTTTGTATTGCTTTGCAAACCAAAACACAGCTATCCTTCAAGAGCCACACTTATCTGAATTTGGCAATGCAATTCCCCAATCAACCAAGGCGTGTTTTGGGAAAACATACATATTAGAAGTGTATATAAAATTGCATACATCAGTGAAAACAAGACACAAAATGCATTATATAAGGGCAAAATTGCTTGCAAAAATGGGAATGAGTCAAAACTGCATACAAAAATGTGTATCTCTGGAGAAATTTGCACTCAAATGCTGACTAATAATAATAAGAAGAAGAAGAAGAAGAATGCAGACCTCTGTGGAAATCTGGATAACTGTGACTGAAAAAATGAGAAACAGACCAAAACTGAAATGGACAGGTTCATCCATCCATACAGTAGTTCAGTACTGTCTATATGACTGGCAACAAGTTCTCCAGGATTTCAAGCAGAAAATATTTCCCAGCCCTACCTGGAGAAGACAGGGATCGAACCTAGGACCTTCTGCATGCTAAGCATATTCTCTGACACTGAGTTATGGTCCTCCCCTACAGCACTGAGCTGGATGGCCAAATAGCCTGGCCATCTCTATGTGCTCTGAATGCCTGGCTGGAAAGTCCATGCATCTTGACAGCCAGGGTGCCTCTCCTATACTATGCATCTTTCCGCTTGCACCCAAGCTTCCTCCTTTCTGCTATGCAGCTGAATTTTCATGCTGCCCTTTCTATTCTCCCTCTCTCCTTCTCTCATGTCACAGGACTCCTTCCTCTGTTTTTTTGTTTTTGTTTTTAAAGGAGCTCTCACCGTACAATCCAGGCCAAGCAATAGTGATGTCCGCAGAGGGTTTGCAGGGCATTCTTCAGCAGATTCTTGCACCAGCTGCAAAGGAGCATCCTTGCAGATGCTCAGAGGGTACCCAGAGGGTGACTTGGTTTTATTGGAAGAGGAGCTGGCAGCGGCCCTGCCAGAAATGCTGCTGCTGCTTTTCTCTGCCATATGCAGTGATGTGCAGAAAGCTTTTCTTTTTAACTTAAGCACACAGGCATGCCACTCCTGCTGCAATGTCAAAAACCCCATTGCCTGGCACCATTGTCATCTGCTGCTAGCGATCTGTTTCATTCAAACTTGCCCTTAACATGGTGTGTGTGTGTGTGTGTGTGTGTGTGTGTGTGTGTGAAAGAGAGAGAGAGAGAGAGAGAGAGAGAGAGAGCATGACAAAAACCTTTGAAGAGGTGGCTGTAACAGGAAATCACTGGCCAGGATTCAAATTCCCCCGGAAAACACAGAAGATAAGGATTAATCAAGGAGAAAGTTGCTTGGTTCTTTTGAAATTAGGCTTTTATCACAATCTGAAAGGCTTTCCATTTTTCTCCCCATGTATAAATGGACAGAGGGATGGGGGGGTTCAACAGGAAGAATGTGAGGGCCATCAAGATAGATGGCCATCAAGGGTTCTTTGATCTGGAAAATCCATCCTACAGCTGTCAGAATATTAGAAGTGGTTGCAGTTCTTCTTTGACTGGAAAACCACTGACCCCTTTTGGCTTTTGGAGATGCCTCATTAAAATAGTATTAGCATGAGTTGCTAGCGTTGTCATTATTTGGGATTCAATTCCGTAGAGCTGGGGCAGGGAACCCCTTTCAGCCCAAGGGCCACATTTCCTTCTGGGTAACCCTTGGTGGTCCACAAACCAGTGGCAAGCTGTGGTGAAGAAATTTTATTTATTTATTTTTCTTTGTACAGTAAGCTAGTTTCTACATATACACTCCTCTCCATCCTCAATCCCGGCAAGGGAAAGGCATGATCAGAGTTCAAGGGCATATTCCAGCCAGGCAAAAACACTCAAGGAGGGTATGAAGGAGGACCAGTGAGGGGTGTAACTTGGGGACAGTTCCAAGGGCCAAACAGAGAGGCCCGGGAGCCACTTTTGCTCCCTGAGCCTGAGTTGCCCTCTACTGCCTTACAGTCTCTAGACGTACACGGTTGTTTCCAATGTTTGCCCTACTCAGAACAGGCAGATTGAAATTGATGGGCATGACTGACTTAGCCTCATTAACCCAATTATTCTCTGAGTAGGGATTAGATGACCATATCTTTATATCATATTCTCTAAATGCATGTGTTGTAGCAGTGGTTGGGAAATGTTATACCCTCACAATTAATGGCCTTATGGGGGAGGTCTTTTACATGCTCATAGGTATCACTTCACTTGCTTCAAAATGTGGTACTAGTAAACCTCTCTCCTGCTCGGTCTGCAGTTTTGGGGCCTGGGCATCTGCCCCAAAACCCTACCCTGTGAACACCTTTGATTTACAGAGGCTCCAATGGTTCAGGATCCATCTGTTCTGGATGCAGGTGGAGGTTAAGGTATCTGCATGACACTAAGAAAATGCACGCTAAGAGGTAATTGTCTTTTCATTTTTATATTATCACTCTTTGGTGTGCCATCTGTTCTGTTCTTTCCCCCCTTTGCTCTCTTTCCTTTATCGTTTCAAGCTTTCTCATATCTAGAACAGAAAACATATCAGTTTATTTTTTCTAATTGGCCTGAGAAGGCCTTTCGGATTGCAGCTGCCTGATAATCCACCTTGAGCCAAGTGAGACAAATCCCAGGCAATCAGGTCTCGTTCCCTGTCCCGTTGGCCACAAGGCTCTGGGATTTCAGTGATAAGGACCCAGGAGGTTAGATTTGTCTCTGATTTTTTAGCAGGTGTTCTTGGGATCTTTCCAATGCTAACTCTGAGTTCAAAGCCATTTAATTGTGGAGGAAATGGAGGAGGGAAGGGAAATAGAGGCTGGTTCTCTTGGCTATCGCCAATTCATTAAGATAGGGAAAGTTTCATAGAGTAGCTGCAATAACTGTCTCTTAATATCTCATCTTAAAAAGCCGAGACATCACCTTGCCAACAAAGGTCCGTATAGTAAAAGCTCTGGTTTTCCCAGTAGTGATGTATGGAAGTGAGAGCTGGACCATAAAGAAGGCTGATCGCCTAAGAATTGATGCTTTTGAATTATGGTGCTGGAGGAGACTCTTGAGAGTCCCATAGACTGCAAGAAGAACAAACATATCCATTCTGAAGGAAATCAGCCCTGAGTGCTCACTGGAAGGACAGATCGTGAAGCTGAGGCTCCAGTACTTTGGCCACCTCCTGAGAAGAGAAGACTCCCTGGAAAAAACCCTGATGTTGGGAAAGATGGAGGGCACAAGGAGAAGGGGACGACAGAGGACGAGATGGTTGGACAGTGTTCTTGAAGCTATGAACATGAGTTTGACCAAACTGCGGGAGGCAGTGGAAGACAGGAGTGCCTGGCGTGCTCTGGTCCATGGGGTCATGAAGAGTCAGACATGACTAAACGACTAAACAACAACAACAATATTTTATTTTATTTTAAATGAAAAGCATTATGATAAAATGAACCTCACTGGATCAGATTATAGCTCCATCTAGCCAATGGGGCAGGGAGCCTCCGCCCCCACCCACCCCCAGGCTCTCTATTTGCCCCTTGGAATTTACCTCAGGCTGCACGCCTTTCCCAGCCCCCCCATTCCTAGTTCTGCTATGCACCCTCCTTGAGTGTCTCTTGGCAGGCTGGGATGTTTCCTTGAACTCTGCTCATGCTCCCTGTTTGCCTGGATGGAAGAGTGAGAGAGGTATTTCAATACGGCAAAGTTGTTGAGCTCTTTTTAGGAAAGCACCAAAATTATTCAGCTTTTGGGGGGAACAAACCCAAATTGTTGAGCTTTTAGGAAGGAGAACCTAACCCAAATATAGTGATTGTAAGCTTTTTGAGATGTTTCTACTGCTTTTTCCGTCGCATTGCCATACATCCGGGTTTCCCCTGACATTTATTATTGCATTTACAGCCCACCCTTTTGTCCGAAGAGCCCAAGATGGTGTGCCTAGCTCCCCCACCCTCCTCATTTAATCCCCTCACCCTGTCAGGTTGGTTAGGCTGCCAGGCAGCGACCGGCCCAAGCTCAACCAATGAGCTTCATAGCTGAGTGTGACATTCAAATCCTGCTCTCCCAGGTCCTACTCCATCACTTTGACCGCTACACCACACTGGCTTATCCAAGGTTTCTGAGAAGTTGCATCCTGCCTGTCACAGAAGTGGAAAAACAATGGACATTTCATCTGCACAGAACAATATCAAAAGCTGACAGCCAGGAATTGTAGAAAAAGAAGCCCTTGGAGGGTCTAGGCAATTCATATAGAAATGGAGTAAAAAAAAGTGGGGTGCTAACATGTACCCCTGATTTATGGAAGGGTGACCGTTTCAACCCACTCTAGGCCTAAGGCCAGTCGGTGCATAAATGGCTTTAATTAAAATCAATAATCTCTTGGCAATACTTGTATGGAGCAATTTAAGCCCAAGTCTCTATCTGTTTATCAAATCAAAGATTGAAGACGAAACTGAAGCCCGTATGTGGCTAGCCGCTAGTTGCACTGGCTAGCCTCATCTAAGCAATGTGGGTCCTGCAGTCATAAACACATGAGAATAGTCTGCTAGATCAGGCCAGTGGCCCAACTAGTCCAGCATTCCCTTCTCACAATTGTCGGCCAGATAGATGCCTGTGGGAAACTGTCATGTTACCCCTTGCTCTCCTTTCCTCTAAACTTAAAGCGTCCCAAATGCTGCAACCTTCATTCATAGGGGAGTCACTGCATTCCTGTGAACATTTTGACTTCCCTTTTCAGAACCCTTTCCAATGATGATATCCATCTCAAAGTAAGGTGACCAGAACTGAACAGAGTAATTTTGCACGAAACAGCACACAGTCTATTTCCTTCAGTTGCAGGATGCTTCCAAATTGCAAAACACGTGCCTCTGAATGGCCCTAGGTCAGGCATAGGCAAACTCGGCCCTCCAGATGTTTTGGAACTACAACTCCCATCATCCCTGACCACTGGTCCTGTTAGCTAGGGGTCATGGGAGTTGTAGGCCAAAAACATATGGAGGGCCGAGTTTGCCTATGCCTGACCTAGGGCATGCTATTTTAGCCTGGAATCAAAGGGTTGAGCCTCTATTTCTGTGCCAGCCACATCCTGTTTTTAGATATTATCTGAGCTCGTCAGAGGATGGGTTGAGGGGATTTACCAGAGGAAATAAGCGGAAAGCACCAAAAAGTTAACATTTGATTCACTGCTGTCACTTTTTCTTTCTGTTTTTCTTTCGGAAGTGGTGGCAGTAAAGGTTGAAACATGGGAAATGGTTTTGACACACTTATCTATAGTGCATCCAGACTGTCAAGAGTTTTGCAGGAGGGATCCAAGAGCATACTGGGAATTTAGGTTTGTGGAATTAAAGTGGATAAAAGCACACTTGTTACCCTAGTTAAGCCAGTGTGGTGTAGTGGTTAAGGTGTTGCACTAAGACATGGAAGACCAGGGTTTGAATCCCCATTTGCTCATGAAGCTCACTGAGTGAGTTTGGAACAATCACTCTTAGCCTAGCCTCCATCACAGTGTTGTTCTGAGGGTTGTTCAAATGGGGGGGGGGGGAGAACTCTGTATAGAAATAGGTGAAAATAAAATGAATATTTTTTGGTTTCTCTCAGTTTCTCATTTTTCCAGTCTCCACATGTGATTAAAAAAAAAAAATCCTTGTGGAAATTTGTCAGCATTTATGTGCTAATTTTACCTGCTCTCTACATTTTTATACGCAGTGTTTCCCAATACAGTATAGACATTTTTTGCCAAGCATTTTTCACTAATATAATGTGTTTTTGCATGTTATTTTCACTAATATATACATTTCTATATGCACTTTACCCTAGTATGTGCAGTTTTGTACACATTGCTTGGCTAGAGAACTGCACCGCAAAATTCAGAGAGACATGAGTTTTAAAGGATGGCTGGGTTTTGGTTGACAAATCTGGTGAGTTGAAGTGCAAATTGAATCAAATTTATCCCCCATCCTTGGCCCTACTGCAGGAAACCTACTTTTAAAAAAAAAAACAAAACATACTTTGTGTGGTTAGAAAAGTGATGGG